ATTTTTTTTCCTAACTTAATCTTGTTAAGTAAGGATAAAATTGTTATTTTAACTCTTAAAATATGGTAGTTTTCAAAGTGTAACAAATTTGGTATAGATTTCAAATTTCCAATAAGATTTGGTATATAGAAGCCAATTTTCCTTGTTTTTATCCTTTAAAAAATATAGTTTTTTTTTTATAAACCAATTTTTTTTATAAAGGATGAGTGTTCGAACTTTTGCCTCTAATATCTTCGGTATTTGAAGATAGTGTTTGGATATTCTGATTTAAAAAAAAAAATCATTCAAAAAGAGTTTGAACCCAAAACACAAGGAAACCAACTCCTTAGGCTACCAATAGGTCATTACTTTAAAAAATACTATAGTTGAAAGTTACATTTAATCGTAACTAATAATGATGTAGATATACAGATTTATACTGTGAGTTTATAAACTATACCACCTAGGCAACTACAAAAATCTTTTTACAAGGACATAGTAGTATTTCATTTCCACTTTGTCGGTTCAAACAGTGTCACTATTGGAATTCAAATTCGCATATTACATATTGTAGAAAGGTTGCGGATAAAGTATTAAAAAGAATTAGAAAGGTTGCCGATAAAGTATTAGAAAGGTTCCAAAATTCTACTTTATATTTTAGAGAGAAATTTTTTATTTCAAAAGAGTAATAAAAATTACTAATTTTTAAAAAAAAAATAAAGTTCAAAACTAATATATTACGTGAAGTAATGCATTTGTTTAACCTTGAAATATATATTAAAAAAAAAACAAATCAGTTAAAAACAATCAAAATATTAAAACATTTTTGTCACTCGAAAAAGAAGAAAAGAGTGAGATAAAATTGAACCAAATTGACAAAGTCCTAATTTCGATCCAATAAACCAAAACCATAGGCCATAAATTCGCAATCAAATCCGGGAACTTTTTTTCCTCAAAAAGGAAACAAACAAATTGCCAATTACTAAAAACGTAGCGAACAAAACTGATACAAACTCAATTACAAAACCAACATCATACAAACAAACGTATATTTGTTTTATAGAGTTTTGTAACAAAAATCAACAGATACAAAAACAAAAAACAGCATGTACAGATCCGCGAGCTGGAACCGTGTGACCGAAGACTACTCTTCCGCACCGCCTAAGGGACTGTGGATGGGCTCTGCGATCGGTCCACTCGACGAGGAGGAACCACCTTCCTACAATAATCCACCTGGGAAATGGTTAAGAAGGAGAAATCGCGAGCCAAGTTCGCGGAAAACGCTATTCACATCATTCCTTTTGTTCTTCTTACATGTGCTCTCGTCCTTTGGCTCTTCTCTAATCCAGGTATATCCTACGCACATCCCTTCTTAACACCGTTCTGATCCAAATATCCATACAAAACTGTATTCCCTAGGAATCGAACCTCTATAGAAAATGATGTGTCCTACAATATACTATGAGAGTATAAAAAATATAACTAAAGATATCAATATTTGCACTCTTCAATCATTTAACTGTTCCGAAATTCTATTGTTCAACTCGGGTATTAGTCAAGTCCATAATGGCATAATCACAAATAAAAATGGAATTTTGTAGATGTGGATGTTGGCATGAGAGAAGAATCTATAGCGGCTAGGATTGAAGGATTGACTATTGAAGGAGACATAGACAATGACAGTGATGGAACTCAGACTGGTTTCTTAGGAGCCACCAGTAGCGGATCCAGAAGAAAATTTCATTGGGGGCAAATGTATACCAAACTTAAAAAAATATACAATATCATCTAAATAATATAGAACGAAAAAATAGTTACAAAATTAACAGTTATTAGTCGTAGTTTATAATGTTTAGTTACTTGATATATGAGTTTTCATGTAATTTATTCGTTGAACATTTGGATTTTAGACTAATTATTTTTGGTTTTTTTTAAATATTTGAGCCAAATAATAAAAAAGATGGGGGCAAAATATAAATTATCAAAACTCTTTAGATATTACACTAATTTGTACTAAGTCATGGGGGGCAACTGCCCCCTCCTTGTATAACCTACCTCCGCCCCTGGTAGCCACCTTAGAACTCGGAGATACAGACAAACCACACGATGTTGATCGGAACAGAAGAGCTTCAAGGAAACTGATTAAAGGTTTTTATTAGTTTATATAAAAAATATTTTTTTGTATTGCTTCTTCTTCCTTTCTAATCAATTTTGACTATCATTTTGAAGCTATGGATATTGTTTTTGGTTAATAAAGGAGTAGCTTATTATAAGTTTAAATTCAAATATATTTATTCTAATCTCAAAAAGAAATTGTACATAATCCGAATTGACAAAACTTCTGAATATAGAGATATATATTCTAATGAAACTCATAACCCAAAAAAACCAAATAATACACCTATAATATATAGTACTTAATCAAATAAAAAAATGCGATTTCATTTCACATGAATGACTCCATGAGCAGTCAAATCTGTTGCTCCTGTAGCTTGTGGAGGAGGATGAGATGGTTGAGGCAAACCGATATCAAGTTCCAAACCGTCTTGCTTTGTCATATTAGAATGAGCTTCATTTGGCTGATATTGAGGCATACCGATCGGTATATGCCTTGGTACAGGTATACCAGAGGGGTGAATAAATTTAACCTGTTCAGGACTGGCGTAGTACATTGGATGGAACATAAGAGATGGAAAATTGTAGTAAGGTGGTACGGGTTGGTGGTAGATTGGCATGTACTCCATTGATAGATTCCGAAACCGGTTCGATATCTCGGCTTGAGATCCGGTTATTGGTACCGGTCCAAAACCTTGTAACGGTTCTTGAGATCCGGTTACTGGTACTTGTTTAGATAGAGTCTTCGATGAAGATGAGGATGTTGATGCATCTACTTGAATGATCTTCTGTTTCTCCTTCTATTCGATCAAAAATCAATTAACCTAAAATTAAAACCCTAACTAAAATCATCGATTACTTGTAAAGCAAGGCAGATAAAAAAAACCTGATCTTCGAGAGAGATGTCAAAGAGACTAGCACGTCGTTTTCTCTTGTCATTAGCATTTAACCTAATGAAATATTTCTGTGCATGACTTGCGACTTGCGTTGGTGTTCTTGTCGTCACGAAATTTTTTGCGATTCCTCTCCAATCTCCTTTTCCTAGTTTCTTTAATCCGATTAAGAAAATCCGATGTTCTTCTTCCGTCCATGGCTTCCCTAGAATTTGTTTCTCAAACTATTATAATGTCTATTAATTTGATAAAGTTAAATCATTCGATAGAGATTAGGAAAATAAAATTACCCTTTTTCTTGTCATGAGCGGCTTTACCCTTTTTAGAATTAATCTGACCATCGGAATGATAACCGGGATCTTCAACGGCGGCGAGAGGATCACCGTTACCGTTACTGTTATCGTCAGCGAGAAGAGAATCAAGATTTCCTAAACTGAGACTCTTTCTTAACGCCGTTACCTCCGGAGGTCTAATCGGATCAGAAGATATGTTAACGCCGAACAGTTTAACGGAACCCTTGTTAACGCCGTTAAGACAAGTCCTTGCGTTATGGCCATTGTGACCACAGTGTGAACACGTCTTCGTCGCCGACGACGTCATCGTCTCCTTCACCATCTCTCTCTCGATCGATGTTGATTGATCTCACGATCTCACTTTGTG